TCACCCTCTTATGAATCATATTTCTTCTTACTCATTTTTAGGTCAATAATGCCTCCTCCTCCTCCTCTTCTTCTTCTTCTTCCTCCTCCTCCTCTTCTTCTTCTTTCTCCTCCTTCTCTTCTTCTTCCTCTCTCTTACTCCCTCCTTCCCCACTTCTTCCTCTTTCTTCTCCTTTTTCCTCCTGCTCCACCTCCTCTTCCCTACTCCCTCTTCTCTCTACTCCTTTACCAACCTCTTCCTCTTTTCCCAACCACCTCCACCCATTCTTCTCCTTCCTCCTCCTCATCCACCACTTCCTTCTTCTTCCTCCACCTCTTCCCCTTCCTCATCTCTTCCCCTTCCTTTTCCTCCACCGCGACAATGACGTAACAGTATCCTCGCCAAGCTGTACCCGTCTCATTATATGCTGATAACGGTACAGCTTGTTATTGTCAACGCTGCTAACGGTACGCTGATTATAATTTCTAAGCCTTGGTGACATTGATAATTCTGATAACGGTCTTTTGATGTAGGGATTATTTTTAGGATTTGGTAACTTTTTTTTGCATTAATTGGTAACGATAAAATGCCGTAGGGATTATGTGTAGGTCTTGGTAACGTTATTCTCATTGTTAGTAACGATTAATACACTTATTTTGACGTTACTTAAATCCACTTGACGGTGCTTAATGAAGAGTATAAGTATGTGTCTCGCTTAACTACTGTAGTAACCTCTTGATTGGAAGTGTGGCAAGTACTCTTATTTTTATTTGCTGGTATTGGGAGCATGACGAAGGTATTACTGGTTCTAGTAAATGGGGTATTCAGTATTTTTTTTATCTTATAATTAATTAGTATTTTTATATGTAATGCCATTGATTATATTTAATTTGATTTTAGACGTACGGATAATTTTTACTTACATACTTACGTACATGTATGTAAGGTAATGACTTGTGGCATTTTCACACCTATAAAACAAAAATAATATTATAATTATAAATATTTATATCCACCTTTATTACAAGTCTTATTATCGCTTGTAATTGATGTGGGCGGAAGAGGTGGCAAAAACCTGCCCTGGTATAAGCAAGAAATAGTTCGGGTTCGTAAGTGGGATTCGAACCCTCGTTGTGTTTGTATCTTAGCCTAGTTACAAGCTCTTGGAACCGGGTCAGAACTCAATATACAACCGATCGTGTATAGTGTATTTAAAGTCATAGTAACTTATCACTCTATTCTTATTTTGTATTTCTGGATTTATGTATTTATTGCCATTTTAATACAGTTTTGAAATTTGAGAATATTAAACTGATAATTTGGTTTTGATTCCAGTGAAATTTCCTTCTGGTTAAAATCGGCTATACTTAATATTTAACTAGGATACCAGAGGCTAGATTCAGCTGACTCCATGTTGACAGTGAGCTAAAGTATTTATAGAAAGAAATGTTTTAGTTCCGAGTTGATTGAAGTTTGCTTACTGGTAAAAATTGGGAATGTTTGATTAGTGGATTGTGGACAGAGGTCGAGTATTCGTTTGCTTATATTTTTTGACTGAAAATTAGTGATTTATGTGTAGTTAAAGTGCATTAGTGATCTGTGACCATACTGTTTTTTGATAGATCCGGCATACAAGTTTACATTGGTTCATTGTGTACATAGACAGTACAGGTATACAAAGAAAGTAAATGGTAATTCGATTCTACTAATGATAACCTAATAAAACCATCGTATCCTTATTTTATATTGTTTTATTTATTGAAATTAAACCCAGTTGGAGATAAAGGTTTAATATTAGTGTAGAATTACGAAATTAATGTTTTCAATCTCCACACGAAGCGCTATGGTCTTGTTTGTCAACGTAACTTTAAAACTCCTGGGCGCTAAACTATTTACAACACAAATCTAACCAACCTAACCTAATCTAACCAAATCGTTACCTTAAAATCGTGTGGTTAGTTTCGATTTAAAATTTATTATAAAAAAAAACTGAAAATCCTGTTAACAATATGGGAATTAAAGTGAGGGTTCGATCGTTAGTGAGATTTGATTCGTTATCAGTGTGGTAATTACACTCAACAAGAAAGGTTTGGGTTGTAAATTAAGTTGGTGTCAGTTCCGTGTTACAGTGTGTAGAAATGTGTTATGTGCGATTTAGGTTATATAGGTTGCTAGGTTAGTTTAAGTTAGTTTTGGTTAAATTTAAGCTATTCTAGGTTAAATTTACTTTAGGTTATGTTACTTTAATCTAGGTTAGGTTAAGTTTAGGTTTGTTTAGGTTAGGTCACGACCACTGTACCAACCTAAGGTAGCCGTGAGCGCACTACAAGAGTGTCAGCACCCTTCATGTGGCGCAATAACCTGCTCCACTTTCAGGTTCCTACTACTGCTGCTCTCTGGGTCGATACTCCAGCCTTAATACTCCACTCTTTTTTTGGTGCCTGGGGTCATCCATCTCCCCCCCCCCCCTCCCTCCATTGGTGCTATTTTCTAATTTCCACGACTACCAATACTGTTAGGCAGAATATTTGCTAATTGTTGTTGTTCATATCAATTGGTTGGGTATATATTGTTTGCTAGTTATTTCGCTACCAGTGCTAGTTCCTCATTAGGCTATTCATTTCCCATTTTCTATAAATCTCGGTATCAATATCAGCTGCGTATTAAAATGGTCTTATATTTCTGCTAACGTGAATTATTTTCGAGTTTATACATATATTATACGGCTCGTGGTCTTAATGGTGTAATAATGCCTTTAGAAAATGTTCAGTTGTACTCGGCAACCTATATGGAATTTCGTTTAAAAGTCACGAACACGTATGTGCACGATAATGTATCCAGTTTCACTTACCAGAAGGTCTAATTGAGTAGTAATATGTCAGGGTATGTTAAGGTATGTCTATTAAGTAAGTTAATATCGTGGGAACGTAACATTATTAGATTTTCTCGAGTATATTTCACTTTGTCTTGAATTAAAATTGTGTAGTGTTACGTAGATAGCTTGTCCTATGTTATATTATAAATCGTTGTTAGTATTATAGTAAAGTATTTTTTGTATCAGTAACGTATATAGTAATTTATAAAATGTATTTGTGTCAGGCAGTTGCGAGTTTTGCTTGTGAGAAAAACACAAAGAAATTGAGTGTTCACTTGAGGGGGGTAGCTGTGGTGTGTGTTTGGTCAGTTCGTGACTGGCGCCAATGTATCGACCAGCTCGCCCCCTCCTGCCTCTACTCACCCTCGTCCTCCACTCGATAACCTTGCACACTCCACCTTCCTCTGTTCCTACCTTCGTTACTCACTCATTATCCTCACACTCCTTGTACCCCCACCCAGTACGCCTACCCTCTTTATATCTCTATTAACGAACGGAAAATATCTACCGAGTGACATGTAGCAAGGAACTTAGTAGAGTGGAGTCATCGTGTGTAGCAGTGGTGCAGTTCTCCCACAATGGTACCATCAAGAGGACACCGCCTGCTGCGTCGTGGCTTGTCGCACCGCCCGCCAGTGAGAGTGATTTTAATAAGTCATCTTGGCTGTAAAAGCGGTAAACTGTGGCTGTAAATTGTAGTAGCAGCTGCGCCTCGTCCGACACTCTCTAACTTTATCGTGCTGTTGTGTCTTGGTCCCCAGTTGTATAAAATTTGTTCCCAGTTCGTGTTGAGTTGAAATCGAGGAAAGTTCCTCAGACTTTGTTGTTTCGTGAGGCGAAATTTGACATCCTTCTCGTGCACTTCAAACTCGATTGAAAACGTGTAATATCTTAATAATTAGGTCCAATTTCGGTCACGTTAGGTTAGGATACGTTCAGTTAATGCAAAGTTTATTTCAACTCGATGCATACAGAATGATAGTGTACTGTATTTACTTTCGTCTTTAAGATTACATTACTCACGTCAAGTTACTGAGTAAAATCCGACTTAGGCAGAATTCGAGTTAGGTAATGGTTCCAAGGACGTAACTCTCACCATTAGAAGCAAACTTAATAAGGGTCGCATACCTACAAAAGATAAAGTATTTTACTCGTGGGACATGAAAGTTATTGACCCGTTAAAGTGTACATACTAATACCAGTTTTTCCTGTTTGAGGTCCATTATCCTGCTTGTATCTGGTGGAGTTGTGACCATCTCTTTCCCTGGACACTTGGCAATATCTGGCATCTACTAGTGGGGTCATATAAGTGATTCTTTTAGACAGTGTGAACGTTGTTGTCACTAAAAAAAAATTCAGATAACACACAACAACATTCTTTAAGTTAATAACACACAAAAAAGCATTCTATTATATTAAGAAAAATCAGAATACATAGATGTTAAGATTCCAATCCCTCCTTACCTACATAGACCTGAAGTAGATGTCAGCTGTAGCCATAAGTTTCCTGGGATTTTTGGTTACTACAAATACCAAACATTTACTGCGTTTGGTCTTGCTTGGGTATTCTGCACATTTTCTAATTACGGTTTACTCAAAGTAAATTTTTTATAATAATCTTCCCGGTTCTCAAAGAGTCGTAATATTTTGTTTGACTCCTGACTGACTAATCTTAATCTACGGTACATATATTCCTGAAAAATATTAAAAAATTATATTTACGCTGTACCGTAATTCTCTTTCAGTCTTACGATAAAACTTAAAGTATGAATCTTTGAGAAACGGATCCTAGTCGCTTTTCTGGTTCTCTTAAGGATGGTACTGTATTTTTAAGCTTATTCTTATATAGTGGTTGAACATCCTAGTCTTAAGTTCATCGCCTCATGCTTGGTGGGAACATTATTGATTATGCGATGTAACAGCCTAGCCATTTATAACACCACCTCTTGCTTGTTGAATTTACACCATTAACAAAGTGACTCACCATCCTAACCTAACCAAGTGATTCACCTTACTAACCTAACCTAACCTAATCTAACCTAACCAAGTGATTTACCTTCCTAGCCTAACCTAAACTATTTGCTTCAATAACTTCTCGATCTCGCTTGTTGGGTAATTGGTGACCTTTGACCCCCCATCCTGACAGCCTGCTGGACAATGAGGGCATAATGGGTCGGAAGCAAGGCCTTAGCTACTCCATCAACCAGCCTGACCTTATCGAGCACGTCGCCCACAGGACCACCAGCCTTCAGCAGCAGCCTAATAACCAGATCGTGTCCAACAATCAGGACGACACGGAGTAAGTCCTGGCGGAGGAGTCCCCCCCCCCACCCAACACCTCACCTCACCTCACCTACTCACTTACCACACCTCCCTCACCTCCTCTGGACTTCCAGCCGCTGATCACTGCTTCACGATGCGTCACGTTAAAGCACCTTGTTATTGAATTATTTTCTAGTCTATAGTACTGCACTGTTGTAGCCTTTTTGCATGATTGATTGTAGTGTTTATTGACTCATGTTTCAACACCATTGTAGCGTGTATGCACTATTCCAGCACCACTGTAGCCTGTTTGCATTGTTCCAGCACCATTGTAGCGTTTCTGAACTTTTCCAGCACTGCTGTAGCTTGTCTCCACACTTTCAACACCATTTTAGATTACTCGCTTCAAAAAGAATCTTTACGATTTTGTGTGAGACAATATGACACAACTGGCGAAGGATTTTGACAACCCTACGGAGACAACAGGAGTCACAGTGTTCATTCTGACATTCATCGGTCCCCTTAAAGATACTTTTTGGAGTTATGTTCCATCACCATTGTAGCATAAATAAGTCAACTACTCATATCCCTTCATATCCAGCGTCTAATCGTAGCTCATTAGGCCTATCCCATGCCAAATTCTAAAGCATAGGCCCAGTGAAAGCAAAGCCTAATTAGTAGTTAGATATTCATGCATAATATTAACCAATGGACACCACGCCATCTATCCCTCTAATATTTTACTAATTATCTTCTTAATTAGGGCTTTATTTTATACAAACGCCTCACTGCATTAATTAGATGGACATTCTACGTTTAGTTTATTCATACAACTGATCCTAGCATGGATTCGAACCCCCATTGTGGATTGGCTGTGTCCATAATGGGGGGTTCGAGTCTTGGATTGGGAGGCCCGAAAGATTCGCTTTTGTTTAACTCTTGAGTATGATGAGTTACCTCCAAGTGTATAATGAATTACCCTTGAGTACCATAACTTTATACTCTGAAACAAGAGTCCAAGTAAATTAGTAACTTAAGGGGAATATTCTAGAAGATAACTACTTTAATACCCTCAGATTACAGATTTAACCCCTTGAGTACAAACTTAACCCCCTTGAGTACAAACTTAACCCCTTGAGTACAAACTTAACCCCTTGAGTACAAACTTAGCCCCTTGAGTACAAACTTAACCCCTTGAGTACAGTGGTTTAACGTACCGTATCCTCTTTGCCACTGATCGATCTGTTAGTTGCTTGGGCAGTCGGTCACGTCTCACAGTTACACGCTCTACCAGGCATATACTGACTGACTCCAGAATGTATCAGAACCTGCTCCAGTGTTAGCCAAGTCTGGTCTTAAATGAGCTCACACTCCACCACTCATAACTCATATTCCAGAAAAATTAGCTCGAAAAGTTAGCATGAACAATTTTCTCTACTTGTGGCTTCTTTGACTGGAGTTTTTTTTACCTCGTAGTGGGGAGAGGTGATCCACTAGCTCTAGATATGAACACTTTGCATAGTGATGTCCCTTGAGGTATATTGGGAAGTTGTTTTAATTTCTTGGTTTGAAAGGTACCTTATATTTCAAGCCTGTTGGGAGTATAATAGTTTAACCCCTTGACCATAAAGATTTAACCCCTTGAGTACAATATTTTAACCCCTTTAGTACAGTGGCAGAACCCCTTGAGTACAGTGGCAAAACCCCTGAGTACAGTGGCAGAACCCCTTGAGTACAGTGGCAGAACCCCTTGTGTACAATGACTGGAACCCCTTGAGTACAATAACAACTGCTTGAGTACGATGACCAATTCCCTTAAGTATAATGACATCGTACTCAAGAATCTTTAAAAAATACCTTATCAGTCTTCAGTTATTCCTTCAAACCCAATATTTACGAATTTCAAGGTAAAATAAAACTTGCCATCACCACCAACCAACCATTTTAAATTAACAGGTCCACAGCATTGCATCCTGAGACACAAAATGGCTCTTGGACATAAAATAATTATACCTGTTTTATGATGCATGATTGAAGACGTTTCGTTTTTTGTTATATTTTCCATTGAAAGTTTTGTGGAATTTGGTTTTGTCGTTTAATTTATAGATATTTTTGTTCATTCGCTTATATATTTGTTTATTTTTGTTGTTTTTTTATTTTGTTTTCGTTTTTGTTTTACGCATGTATATAAGTGTTGTATTTTACTGAATATGTATCTATTTATTTATTTAAAGATCTGTCTGTCTGTCTGTCTATCTGTCTGCAGTACACAGGCCAGGGTTTAATGGCTTCGTTAAGTGTGTTCTGTTTATCGTGAAAATTTGTGTTTTGAAACCCTGTAAATATCTCACTACTGATAGTTTTAATTTTAACATGTATACAAGCATTGTTATAAATAATATTTTGACTTATTTTTATAGTATTACTTTTAAAGCAATTAAATTCTGCTCGGTATCTATATTTTTTTCATATTTGATATTTTATTCATTAGGTTTGTGGTCTGTTTACTTGAAATGTATTAGGCTTGTATCCTAGTTCATTATGGCTTGACATCTTTTATATTCAGTACATGTTTTTAATTTGGCCTTTTAAGGGTTATATTGGGTCAAAGGTCAAACAGTCTCAGAACGTATCTAGTATTTTGAGTTGTGTATTTTTTCTCCAGTGCAAGAATGGCATGATTATATTTAGAATTAGATATTGTATCATTGTTATAATATTTCTAATTTATACAGTTGCAGGTAAAATTAGCACTTCCCTTGCACAGCCTTATTAGTAATTTTGTCACTAAAATTTCTAGGAAGAACTTATTACAATTTTCAAGATTAATTTAGGTTAGAATTTAGACCCAGCTGAAACGGATATTGATGAATTTTAATACAGTAACCAACCCTCGAGTTTAATAAGATTTGACGAAGAAAATAACAAAATTAATAATAAGAAGATTGCACAAACCTTTATAATATTTATACTGTATATACTTGTCACACTTGCCAGATGCGTCTGGTGTCATTGTACAGGGGTACCTAGTGACAGCACTAGGATCCCGCTTCCTCTAACAAGGAATAAACAATTGAAATTGAAATTGAATTGATTGCACAAGGACAGTTAAGTTTCACCTAAATATGTTTAAATGGAATCCCTAACAAGAATTGTGTTGACAGGAACGATGACAAACGTATGGTAACTCCTGACGGTGGTGAAGGTGGAGTGGATTCAGGCGTAGTGACAGACGGAGGTTCCACATCTTCCTCAAATTCCTCGCATCAAGGGCGACAATCCCCAACTCACATTCCACATATGACAGCTGGCCACACACAGGTAAATATCACAGCTGGTTACATATATAGGTGAAGTTCACAGCTGGTCATGCACAGGTAAAGTTATCAGCTGGTTACATACAGGTAAACTTCACAGCTGGCATCCGTAGGTAATCTGCCCTGCTAGAAACGCTGGGAATACTGCACCCACTTTCCCTACAGGTGATTTATGATCGTAGATAGAGACAAAAATACTTATACTGTAATTTAAATAAAAATTTGTCTTATTATTTCTATTACAATACTTATTATCATCGAAAGAACATCTGTGGAAAAAAATTAACATAATCGAACAAATCTTTCTGGTGTTAGTCGTCTGCTTCACTATTAGCATTAAATTATACGATATTCACCCTCCCCCCTCCCCCCCCAAATAATGATAATAATAATTACGGATATCCAAGAAGCATGACGAATACAACAACTTTTCTTCTATGACATTTATAGAAATAATAGGTGGAAATCATCTGCAATACTGAGCAAGACAATTGCCTTAACTGCTTCTAAACCACTCATTTGATGCCAGTTAGTGTGCAGTTGATTCTATAAAGTGTTATCACGAGGCAGTTTCATTACCAACATTGCCATTATATTATGTTTAGAGTTTCCAGCCAGTAGAAATTTACTGTACTACCCAAGCACAGTGATACACCCCCTCCCCCGCCTCCAGAACTAAAGACTGGGAGAGTACCATTTACGTTTCTGTACCATATTACACCATGTTGTTGATGTTACATTGGGATTACATGAAGATTAGTCACCCTATTTGATTTTACCTGATGATAAAACACCTAATTGCTACCAGAGAGGGGTTAGGGTAGTGTAAGGGTGTTTAATCTGAAGGTGAAATAAACTAGGGTGTATTAATGAGCTTTTACTGATAACTTCTCCAAGCACATAATCTTAAGAGACAATGTGTGAATGTTTAAAGTCGTCTTCCTAATATTTAATCCTAGTAAAATAAATTAAATGTTTTAAGAAAGTATGTTTACCAAGCAGTTTATTACAATTGATATTAGTCTAGTGAGTTAAACCAGTGAAGCAGAGGAAGAGTTGGAGATTCATGTGTAAACACTGGAATTCCTCTCGGTAATCTAAGTACAGTTTACGTGTACTGTAGTAGCTAATGTCTGTTTAATTTTTGTATACTGTACCTATTTCATGGAGCAGATAGTGGTTTTTTATTACGGTATTATCATTTTCACCACTTATCAGCTTACTAGCCATTTAAGCAGTTGATCTATCCAGTGTTAGTACAGGAAGACTAGAGATCGGTAAACCTGTGATGTTTGGTTGTGTCACGCTGGATAACACCCATTTTTCACTGCAGGACTTGTATGCTCTGCCGGTAAAGCGCCCCCCGACACAGACTGGCTCCCAGCACTCAACCCCGACACATCAACCCACACAAAATAATCATGAAGAGGAGAAGACCGACCCACCGATAGAGGACACCCTTCCCCCTGGCTGGGAGAAACATGAAGGTGCGCTCTTCTTTTAATTTTAACTCGATGTTCTTTAACCCTTGACCGGCGGCTAAGGATTCCCTACTTCCCATCTCCCTGACGTGCCAACATGGAATGTAAAGAACATGAAACTTCCATTGATGATGGCTATTATTTCGACAGCTAACTTCTACTGATGGTGACCGCTGTTTATGAGTTAAAATCACTTTTTAAAACAATATTTAAATTTTCATTTCATGCTCTTAAAACTTTTACTTAATGCTGTTTTTAACTTCTCGCCAGAATACGGTGTTTTGTGGAGGTGGCTACCAGGTGTCTGTAGATCAAGAATAATACTGTAATTAATAACGTGGTGGATTCTTACAGTACAGTATTGAATGATAGGACTGTACAGGATAATTCTTGTATGTAAAAGTTAGGTCAAGCCAACATCTGACCTGGAATAAGTCACTTAAACATTACCCATGAATGTTGAACAGGTAACATTCTTTTAAGGAACATTACTGTATAACCAACTGTGGACCAAGAGAGCATTGTAACTATTTTTCTCTCCACATTCAACAGATAATGATGGACCATACTACTGGCACATCAAGAGTGGTACCATCACCCGCACCCCACCTGAACCCTCGGATGCGTTGACTTCTGCGCCACTGAGGGCAGAGAGGAGGAATAAGGATCCCGACCAGGTGGGTAGAAACATCTGAATAACACCTGGATACACGAATAAACTTTTAAGTATGTAGTCAGATAATTTAACCCCTTGCATACCAGGTTCCCTCTGAGCTGAATAAAATCGTCTGGCATTAACCCAGACCCCACGAGACATTAATACACATCCATGATTGTGGTCGTTGTTATAAAATGTTGTTTTGTTTCCTCAGACGAGTGGTAGTGTGGCAGGAACAGTGACCCGCAGCAACACCTCGTCTGCTCTGTCTGAACTCTCAGACTCTCGTCCAAGGACTGCTGCTGTGGATAATGCCTACAAGTGAGTCTAAAGTGGTTGATGTTTTGATTAGTCATAACGTTTACAGTCACTTAACTCACAGAAGTTTGGGAAATGGCTGTAAATTGATAATGATGATGATGATGATGATATAAGAATCCTTTAAATTTATAGCAGTAAAAAGTGGTTGTTTATTTGCAAAGTTACAATCAAGTACAGTAGTTGAGAGGAATCAATGTACAGTACTTGTACAGTATTGATGTCAATTTGCCTTCATGTTTTTCAAATCATTTCCAGTTTCTCCTTATTTTATTTGCTTCTGATATACAGTAATTTTATACAGTAAGCCCTCCCAATAGTGGATTAATTCATGTAAGCCTTGTTCATTATTGGGAGGGTTTTCATCCTCCATACCCGGACATGAAAATGCACATCTTGTATGGTAATGAATATTGTACAGTACAGTAAATTGATATAGTTTTCACATTTTAAGGTTATATGAGTTGTAACTTTGATAAGCACTGGGAAATCAAAATTAATATTGCATAAGTTTGTTAATCATATCTGTGCACATTGATAGTACTGTAGTAAGATGCATTCAACCTATGGTGAATATGTGGATATTTTTTTGTAAATTTAGTTATGTTAAATGGTAAAGTTAGTCTTTATTCTTGAGAAAATGTATATAAAAGTGATTTAAAACTTACATTCATAGCATAATTTTAAGGGTCATTAATTAACACTTATTACTTACTTTTTTTAAATTTTGAACACCAATCCTTAAACAACATGTAAAATACGGTAGTACCTTTCCATGAAATTGAAATCAAATCTATGGCCTGACATCAAGTGCCAATGCAAAAGGTAATAGGTCAGGCATTTTCAGAGTGAGTTATGTCTTTTTTCTGGAACTAAAGTGTTTGAGTATCATTTTAAAATAAAGTATTGAGTCCCTTTACCACCTGTGTATGGGATCCCTTCTGTGTTGAATGAAATTGTCTGGCGATGACCAAATAAAATATTAAAAGTGTAGTTCTTGTAGTGAAGTGATAATACACGATGCATAATGTGTTTTTTTTATTCTTACAGGCGACGCAGTTACCCAGCTCGTAGCGACATAACAGAAGGCAGTGGTGGACGTCCTATCCGATTTGCTGTGCGTTCCCTCGGTTGGGTAGAAATTGCCGAAGAAGACCTCACACCTGAACGATCTTCCAAGGCCGTCAACCGATGCATAGTTGACCTTTCTGTTGGAAGGCGCGACGTTTTGGACGTGGTCGGATGTTGGGGAGACGTGAGTTTTGTGTTCTGTGTTTCCTTGTTTTTGACAGTTGCTTCATTGATTTGGTTTGCGATTTTAAGTATTACTCTGAGGAAAAGCTTCGGATATGTGACGGGAAAATTGACTGAAGTTGTATTTTTCTTTTACCAGGGGAAAGACTTGTTTATGGATCTGGATGAAGGCTCCCTAAAACTTGTTGATCCAGAGAATTTGACAGTACTAAACACACAGCCCATCCACACCATCCGCGTTTGGGGTGTTGGGCGTGACAACGGCAGGTGAGGGATAATAATCTATATTTGTGTTTGTTTATTTATGATCAGAGCAAATTTTCCAGATTAATGGAACTTTAATTGTTTAATATTAATGAAGCAATTTAGATTCATGACAACTGTTTATCATTTATGGCGTCTATTTAGCAGATGATTCCTACAATTTGTGTGTAGTTAGGCAAAATCCCCCCAAAAAGGTACATTTGTAAATTGTAAATGTTATTATTATTTACAACATATTTACAAGGAGATTCAGATAAACCACAGTTGAAGGAGATTTATGTAATACATTAAATATTTTCAAGTGATATATTTACAGGTAAAACATAACATAATATTTGGAGTTAGTTTCAAGCCAATGATCTGAAAACCTTATAACTTGTGTGAGTTCCAGGAAAGACAAAAATATAGGTAATGATGAGAACACAAGACACACAGAGAAGGAGTTCATCCCACATGTCACCCTGGAGTAGTTTTGTTGGGTTAAAGTAGGAAAATTCTGAAGGATGGTGCTCAGTAATTTTCTTTGAGTTATTATGGCTTTTGATATATATTGGATATGTAACGTTATGTACAGTATATAATTCCCAAGGTTTAGAGGACATTTCAGACTGTCGTTGTAGTACAGTAGTTATGGTACATCATAACTATTAAGACACAGCTAAAGGTGGATGTTTATGTGTGTGTATGTGTGTCCCTACCTGTCAGCCCACACACGACACGGCCACGGGAGGGAGACACGTGTACACTATACAGATGATCCTAACGGTGTCTTAGTAGAAGTTGTGATGTTTAGAGTTTATGATGAAACTCTCCTGACTTATAGTATATTTTTTCTTCCTCTTGATTGCTGCGTGGCGAACTGTCTGACAGGGAGAGGTAATGCCCCTTCATCTCACTTGACCAAGCATGGTTTCCACCCACGCATGATTCTCATTGACACTTGCCTTGATGAGGAGATCTTTTAAGAATAATTACTATTCGTTAACTGGGATTCTCAAGTGTCCAGTCTCTTGTGTATATATTTATATTATTTTTTTCTCCATGAATGTTCCACCTGCTTAATACAGATTATTTTTTCATGTGCACAGAATGACTTTGCATATGATGAAATGCACTGATTCATAACATAGTTTTTAATGAAGTTTTTAACATTATTTGTGTTGCACGAAAGTGATGCATTGTTAAGGAACTAGAGAAGCCAGAAATAATGAGAACCTTGAGCTGTATTACTGTGAATGCTGTGTTGCCAAGCTTAATCTGGCCACACTTATAACCCCAGCTTTACTGTAGACCAAAACTTGGGCTCATGACCCCTTCTCTCAACACTACCTGACTCCCACAGTTTTGCTTTACAGTATAAGAGTTACAATGGTTCTACTACATTGTGATTATTATTACTCAATATTTTGCTCACTGCTAATGCTCATTTGGTAGTCATTTACAAGACCTTTATGTAGTTGTAGATTGTGGAATATTGCTAACTTGAGAGATGTGAATTATATGGCAGACATGAATATATTTGATATAGTATACTGTACATTTAAGCTATCAAGACAAGTACCCCTGTGATAGATGTTGTAGTGGTGTCTGTATACAGGTGTGTTGATTTATGTTCTGCGTAGATATATATCGTCCAAAAAAGTGGCGCAAAATGAATGTTGTCAAAATTACAATTTTCTTGCAGGGACTTTGCATATGTAGCCCGTGATCGTGTGTCGAGGAAGCATATGTGTCATGTGTTTCGTTGTGACACCCCTGCTCGCACCATTGCTAACACACTGCGGGACATATGCAAGAAGATTATGATCGAACGCTCTCTTCAGCAGAATATGAACAAATCCCTTGACTCAAGTGAGTACAGAGAAGCACTACACAGTCAGTAAAGTTTCCATCTACTGGCATCATATTTTATAATTTTCTGTTTATAAATAATTTTCCTTTGCAGGTTAATCTCTTTCATATAGTTTTTATCTTGTCTTACCAACACACTTGACTCCATATTGTCACCTGGTCATACAGATTCATCAGGCGGAGGCAGTGCTAGCAGACTTACTCGACCAACTAACCTTCCCACCGAACATCGCAGACTTCATCGTCACTCACAGATCATTCCACGTAAGTAATAGTTATGAAGTGGGTATTATACGCCGTAAAATTTGTAAGATCAAAATACTGTACAGTTTAGTGTTTTAGTTTATTTTCTTTATCCAGGACGCTGGGGTTTACTTTAAGGCATTGTTATTTCCTAAACTTTTAATATGTTATAATTTTCAGCTCAATCATTCCCAACACCAATGGAGGAGCCAAAGAAAGTGATGCGGGTGCAGTATGTGGGCGTCCTGCAGGTGGAGAGACCTTCTGGAATGGACGTACTTAACAGTGCAATTGACAGAGTGGTAGAGTCCAACCCAAGGCCCTGGAGGAACGTGTCTGTGGCTGTTGCTCCCTCCACCGTCACCATCACAAACACAGTGAGTTGAGAAGAAATGATAAAAGAAATGTGAATAACTGATTAAATTAAACATAAAAATATCCCTTGTTATTGAAGATATTTATCACATTTTCTATTTATTTTAAAGATATAGCTAATTGTCTATTGTTATTTATGAGAATAACTTGAGAGGAATGAAAATTAATATATTTTTTTTAATTTCTGAGAGATCTGTGTACTGTAGTGGGTGATCATTATGAGTGTGAGTGAAGCTTTCATCTTGACTCACATTGGTTCACTTAACATGTACTGTACTAACATCAAGTGAATTTGATTTATTGTCTCTCATGTATTTAAATTTAAAGTTGGTAGGTTAGATAAATAAACATGGTCATTTTTATTGGATTTTACTCCTATTCACAGAGGCACAGGTGTTGTCTAGTTAAAAGTAAAAATACCAGAGTGCCTTATAATGACAATAGGGACCATTCAGTGTACAAAAAGTGAAGGTAGAAATAGATTTTAATTAGCTGACCTCACTAACCTACCTGATATGTCAGATGAAAGAGCGAGAGGTTAAACTTGTCATCTCATTATATCCCGTCTCGACAGGATGATGGTAAACAAATAGCAGAATGCAGAGTCCGATTCCTGTCCTTCTTGGGCATTGGTCAGGACGTGAAGCATTGTGCCTTCATCATGCACACGGCCCAGGACCAATTTATTGCGTATGTGTTCCACTGCGAGCCATCCACCGGCGCCCTCTGTAAGACCATTGAAGCGGCTTGTAAGGTTAGTCCCGAGGTATTATTACACACATTTGTTGGTGTTATACCCTTATGTAGTGGTCCCCCTCTTAGCTGAATAAAGTAGTCTGATTTTAGCAAAATAAAATATTAAAAGTAGCGTCCCTGTAGTGAAGATGTAAAGAGAATACAGTAAACTCTTGTTATTTGCAAGGGATGGGTTCCAAGGAATGGCGTGAATAGGCAAAAACGCGAATGGCAACTTATACAACCTTAGTGCACTACTGTATACCTATACCAAACAACTAACCAGCCGTGGCAGCACTCATTCCCTCTTGTAAAATAAATAATGATAAAACTTTCTTTGTCACTTCACTCCACTAGCATCACTAGCACTGACACTAGGTAGTCTTTCAAGGGCCATTTCACACAGAAACACTAAAATTTTGAGAATATAACACGAGATGCTGCTTGGGGTGACTCGTTGTGCTGAGGGGAAAGGCTTGCAAGCTAGTCACCATAGCCACCATCTGCTTAACGCGAATCATCGAAATCACGAATCACAAACCTGCGAATGGCAAGGGTCTACTGTACCTTTAATTTGTTCTTGGTTAAATAATTAACAATTTTCATAGCATAACTTAAACTGCAAGAGATAGAAAGCAGTTAATAGTGTAGTTAAGCATGTTCTATGTTTGTTTTAGTAATTAACTGTAATGTAAAGTCTCTGTAGCCTCACCCTCAGGAGAAGTGCATTTTGCCAAGTGATAAGGAAAGATCAGTTGTCAAAATTTTATACCCAAACAGGAGCAAATATCCAAATCATAAGATGTTTTTACATTTTAATGTGAATATGAGGCATTTGTTCATGTATGTGATCTGTAATGCTAGCCAACTGAAATCACACGAGTTCTGATATGATTTGGACAGTTCTGATATACCTCACATAAGGGGTGTTTTGTCTGGAGGAGGCAGTTGTTTAGCTCTTGGTGCCTGAATTTGAATGGTGTTAATGAGACTTTAGAGGCAGGTAAGCATGGTAATAAATACTGAACCTCAGACATTGATTTAGATATTTACATTTAGTTGGTGTTGTTTTAAAGTAACATATTCTTACTAGATAAATCATTGTAATATTAACTCTTAAATGGTGGCCATCATCAGTGGATGTTAGCTGTAGGGATGGTGGCCATCATCAGTGGAAGTTAGCTGTAGGGATGGTGGCCATCATCAGTGGAAATTAGCTGTAGGGATGGTGGCCTTTATCAATGGAAGTTAGCTGTAGGGATGGTGGCCATCATCAGTGGAAATTAGCTGTAGGGATGGTGGCCATCATCAGTGGAAGCTAGCTGTAGGGATGGTGGCCTTTATCAATGGAAGTTAGCTGTAGGGATGGTGGCCGTCATCAGTGGATGTTAGCTGTAGGGATGGTGGCCTTTATCAATGGAAGTTAGCTGTAGGGATGGTGGCCATCATCAGTGGATGTTAGCTGTAGGGACAATGGCCATCATCAGTGGAAGTTAGCTGTAGGGACAATGGCCATCATCAGTGGAAATTAGCTGCAGGGATGGCAGCCATTAGCTGTAGGGGACAATAGCCATCTTCAGTGGAAGTAAGTTGTAGGGATGGCAGCCATTAGCTGTAGGTGACAGTAGCTGTCATCAGTGGAAGTTAGTTGTAGGGATGGTAGCCATTAGCTGTAGGGACAATAGTGGATGTTTCATGTTCATAGTGTTCCATTTAAGGGTTAAAATGTCTTTGGTTACAGAGATCATTAGAATATTAAATTTAACTCTACTTAACAGCTGAGATACCAGAAGTGTTTGGACGCGCACCCAGGTGTAAGTCGTGGACGAGGAGCAGGTACTCCCCGAAGCATTTCAGCCACTTTGCGCTCTGTGTTCGGATCCATCACAGGACGAAAGGCTCGGTCAGCTGAATCCTGAGATGAGGACTCACCTCTGCAGGTAACAACAAGACTGTGTGATGTTTGTATACAGCACCATGGTAGTATTGGGTTGAAGTTAATGTACTTCACTTAAAAGGGTGATATGCATACAGTAAAGAATTAGTCACATAATGGTGGCCTAGTATAGCACTGTACATATAGACTTGACTTACTGTATTTTAGTTTTTCTTCCATCTAAATTTAGTTTATTTGATAGAAGCACCGTGCTATTGTAGCTTTTGCTTGCCCTTTTATTTTGTTAAGTAGACATTATTCTTATAAATACTTTCCTATTGTCTGTCAGTTCAGCTCTTGGTAGTAACATTATGAAAAAAGTTGTTGTACTTATAGCCACTGTGTAAACTATGTAAACTGAAACTAAAATATCTTTGTATAAACATTTCTGAATTTATATGATATGTAAAAGTTAACTGATGTAGTCATGTCTTGCCGCTGAGGATGGATAACAAGAACAAGAGAGAAACAGTTTATTTTGATCCGGATGAAACAGAAAACTCGGACGAAGCAAGAAAATGATGTGTTGTAGTTTGGATTTGACAAAGGAGATTCGTGCTGAGATATAAACCGTCCCCTTCACACAAGAAACAGTAGTGCTCGCATAAACAGCAGCTACCTAGGATGAGAAGGAAATAATTTGCTTAAAGGATGTAGTACAGTTATAAAGATTACATACTATGCTTAAAACTCTGATCTTGGCCAAAAGTATAAAATATCTGTCGGATAGAGGTACTAGATAGAGACAATTTGCATCCTGTGAGGGAAATGTGATGTTACAATAATAGATTCAGGTGAAAGCAATAAAGGGATGATGAAGTAGACGTAACAAAAAGACAATATGGAGTTCTGTTGCCATTGTTTACCTGCTGAGATAGGAGGAAGGAGGAATTACAGGTTATGTTGTCTTGGGTTATTAGCTCCAGGGTGTAATGTAATATGATTTTGATTGTCAAGTTTGACTAAGTCGAGAGATCAAAGAGGATCCCCAAATTTAATCCGAACATTTACTTTGATGACTGATAATGGAAGACTATAGTAAAGACATTAATCATTACCAGTGGATTGGAGATTATGAGCTTTGAAAAGATTGTTAAAAGGATTGAAGATGGACGATTAAAACTGAGTAGATATTTAAAAGGATTGGAGATGGATAATTTGATCTCTGAGACGTTATTTAAAAGGATTGGAAGTGGATGATTAGAGCTCTGAGAAGATAATTAAAATGAAAAGGACAGTATTGCTGAGTAGATTAGTCAAGAACTTGATTGAAGAATGCAAATGGATAAGAATTTAGCTGGAAGTCCCAAGAAAAGGCCAGATTTAAAAAGACCGGGAAAACGATAACAAAATGAACGCACGATAGGGATGAAACGTGTAGTAATTTATGAAGAGGACAACTTTATGAGTAAGAGGAATGATTATTATTTGTGGATGATACACTCAAACACAAGATGGCATAAGAGATGTCTATGAATCCTAAGCTATACATCATTGTTGTAGAATTGTACTTGTGTCTGTATCCAAAGTGTAAATTTAATGCACACACCATGTAACTGAAATGTAGACAGACAGGTTTAACTCTATATCAAACTTCATCGTATATTTTGTATTATGAAATATCTGAATTACTGTAATAGGTAATGGCTTTGTACTGTATGTAGAGATGCTTTGAGGTAGGCTTTACTGTCAATGATTCACCGATATATATAGAGAGTTGTGCATTGTACTTAATCACGTGAGAGTTGTAAGATGATAATATATATATATGTGTACTGTATCACATGTCTGGTTGTGTTTTGTTACCAGTGTTTAAGCATGTTGTCTTGAACTTCTTGAGCTATTCTTTATAACTGAGGTAGTTGTCTGGTCTAGTATATCCTGTTTCAACCTGAGGTGGAAACAGGAATGGACTGATATAATTCTCTCTTTTTCTCTCTCATTCTCTTATGCTGTTGTGTTGGTTTTATATTTTTATTGACTCGAAATTATCTTAAAATTGTGATTTCTCTTTTGTTGTAAGTTTGAGTTATAAAACAGTGTTCTAAATGTTGCATCTAATGATATGACTCATTTCTCATGCTATAGTTAAATTTATACTAATAATAATAACTTTCCGATAAGTATGAACTACCGAAGTCTCACTAATCCATTTTTACACGAAGCAAACAAATGTACAGCCGTCTCCACTTATACCTGGTTCAATGGCATCTCTGTGTTTGTTCACATCGTATTAAAACTCTCAGAATGGCCCTAAGGAACCTCACAATAGTAGCCAGACTAACGATGCCAGATAAACATTCCACAGTTCTGCCACGTCTTACAAAAATTGTGATGGCTAATATACCAGGTGCAAGTGCAGCCGACTGTACTTCAACATACACTACAAGGGACCACACACACACACACACACACACACACACACACACACACACACACACACACACACACACACACACACACACACACACACACACACACTCTCTCTCACACACACACTCTCTCACACACACTCACACTCTCACACACACTCACACTCTCTCTCTCTCTCTCTCTCTTTCTCAAATGCATTCTCAAAGTGTACATGTATGTGAGCTTTCAGAGTCACCCCACACAAAACTCTTCTCTTATTCCCTTTCCTCCTCCACCATCATCACCCCCCCCCCTCCACTACACCCACAAATTACCTCTTTCTCTCTCTCTCTCCTATCTCTACCCCATTCTTTTTTCTTCTATATTCCTCTATTTTTTCCTTTCTTACTCTTTATTTCCCTTGTCTTAATCTCCCTTATCCCTCCTCCCATTGCATTACAAATAGTCAATCCTCGGTAAACCAGACTCTAATATATTGGAATTTGCTCTTTGGACTCTTAGGTGCTCTGGGTCGCTCTTCTATTCACCAGAAAAAATAAATAAATGGTCTGGAAAATCTAGCATCGGTCCAGACGGTTTGTGTGTTCATACATGCGGTTCAACGTCTGTGCGTGGGTGTTGTGTAGCATGTGTCTCACTGTCTCAGACTTTTGCATTTTCCTGACGGGTCTGCCCCAACTAGTCTGATTTATCGAGGTTCTATGTACATCCTTTTCTCAAGTATCCTATTGATGTCCTTCTCTTCTTCTTTATTACCATTCCATCCCCTTTTCCCTCAGCATTTCCCTGTATTAATAGGCTTTAAGCACTCATATATGAATCATATTAGTGTTCTTGTGTCTGTACGTACATAATTATCTTCCCACCGATATCACAGACAACATTACTGGGAGTGTTCTATTTTTTTTCCTATGGTATAATATTTGATTCATTATATTGCATACTTGGCCTAGACAAATAAACAATATACTGTACTTGTTGTATGAATTACTTCACTTACAGCTTGTAATCACTAACCCATTACTAACACTAACTAACCTCTCAGGACTTCTGGGTCCAACCTGCAGAGCGTGAGGTCATTCCGCACCGCCACCTGACCAGTCCTGGAGGAGGCACCCCTTCTCCTACTATGTCAGGATGTCCCTTTTCCTCACGACAGGTGCAGGCGCTGGTCTCTCCCACGTGTGAATCTCCCCATTCATATAGTCTCCATCGCTCCCCAACCACTCCAGCCCTCATGATGCAATCCCCTCCCACACCTGCCACACCCATGTCCCCTATGGATGCCCTCCGTCGCCTCCAGCTCCCCCCAGATTTATCCCCTTCACGGGAAGAGGAAATCGACTTAGAGGACGGAGGAGTTGATTTAGAGGAAGGAATTCCTCAAGAGGCTGATTTAGATGATGATGAGGAAGATGACAGCTTAGACAAGTTGGGAGGTACGCTGCGCAATGAATGAGGCCGGCAACTTTCTCCTTCAGGATTGAAGTGCCATTTAGTCTACTTGGTAAACAGCCTAATATTTTACCTGGCAGCTGTGAGGGTATGCATGGAGAGTTGGCATTATCCATTTCAGATGATATGAAAGGAAATGGCAGTTTTTACACTCACTTCTCTCTGCCTTGTTAATAACCAAGTTAAGTTGGTCTGGAGAATGGTCAAGACTACATTTTCTCTAAGATCTCTATTTAAGTGTCCCTCCATACAGCCACGTGCCGAGTAGATACAGTATGCCACCTATATTCCCACTTTCAATGAACCCATATGTCTAATCCCTGCGCTGGTACTTCCATCATCCTTCTGACCTCTTGAGTTCCTGTTTAATCACCCTCCACTAACCTGCAGAGTGACATCTAATGTGTCATAAGTGATATATAATAGATGTGTCTGGAAAGAGATAGATACTGTACACAAGTAGAACATGGAGATAGTGTAGAGTCCATTACAAGGGGTATTGCTCCAAGCCCAAGTAATGTGAGTGTGTGGTTTGGTGTATGCGTGTGATTTAGTGTACGCACGCTCAGCAGGACCCAGAATGGCTGGTTGTGTGTAAACTAACTTGTGTCACAAATCTTCTGCACGTACTCACTAACGCTGAGTTTGTAAATGTAAGAATATCATAAGAACATACTCCTATGCTCTCGTTTTGGCATGTCAACTTTAATAGCAACCTCTAAGTGGGCATAACACAAGAATTCATGGGGAATTCTTACTTTATGACTGCAGCCTAAAGCTTCACGGTGTTCCGGGGAAGAGATCATCAGCAGGGGATCAAGTTGTGCCTCTGCTTGCATAGAAGTTTTGCTAACCACTAACACATTGATGTACATTTGTGAATGTTTCATGTGGCCTAGTGCAACTGTGTCTTTTTCTCTGCTTTAACACTTCCTGTCATGGGAAAAAGCCATATGTAATAGGTTGACTTAATCATTTTAGGTCAAAGCATCTGTCAAACATATTAATTTTAGCTCTTTGGCAGTATTGTCAATAATGATTTTATATTGTCAATATATCTATTTAACAAAACTTTGTGTACAAGCTGGAAAGTGCTGAAAATGATTGTGTTTGTTCTTTGGCTGAAATCCAAATTGGTAAGTCAGTGTATACAATATAGTGACCATAACAATTTGCTGAATATGTTTTGCAAACCTAGACATCTTTTAATCTCACTGTCGGCAGTGTTCTTATTTTTTATTATTATTTTACTCTTAACTGCGGATCAAGGTTTTCATCCCAGATTCTCTCGGCTTCGTTCTAACACTAACCGTAACTCTTCAGCTGAACTCCTGTAGGCTACTTCTAATCTTGTTGACTGTGAGTGAATGTTCTCTTGTTACTGCATATAGCCAAGTAACTAGTCGTTAACATATTGTACTTATGAGTGGAGCTTGACTGGAGAAACTTTAAATATTTAGGGATTAATATCAGTGAGCACAAGGATCATAGACGGCTTGTAATATCTAAGAGAGACTGCATGGGTACATGAGAACGGCCGTAAGTAAATAACGTTGTAGAAAATAGACGGCACGGACATGGGGACGTTGTAAATCTTCCCCGTCTGAAGTTTCCTTTGCTTGTAGCTCCCATCTGTAGTATATACAATAATAACTATATTTCCTTGTGCCCATTGTGAACAACACGTACATACAAAAGCTCGGGTGTTAAAAAAAAAAAGCAGTGTATTGATAGCGATTTACTTTGGTCAATTCACCTGAGCCTCCTCGAACTGACCCACATTAAAAGCCGTATGATCCATCAGGGTTGGATTCCCCGTAAGTGCAGCTACAGGAAGCGTCTCAACGGATCATCTCAGTGACCTAGTATGTTGCCCGTCATCTGTTGTTTGTTTTCGTTGGTCATTTTTAATACTATAGAACACTTAACACAGAGGGTAGAGAAGCAGTGCGATGATGTGGTGTGTTGAGACGACTTCTACCAAGGAGTGAGAGGATGGGTCACGGCAGGAGTACAGTAGTCCACACATGTAGCCACGCCAGCAACTATGACCTATTTATCAATATTTCCAGTCATTGGTTTTGTCATACTCTTTGATTTATAGTGACAAAAGTGACTTGTACTGTATATTGAAAGCAAAATTGTTAACATTGATTATTTTAAAAACATTATTTATGACTTAAGTAAATTTCCTAGTTTATTATTTAATTTTTTATGACAGTAAATGAAGAAATATTTCCCTTTTTTTTATTATCATAATGGGATATTGATAGTGATAAGTAGATTAGGTAAAAATAGAAATAAATGTGTTCATCCATTGTGAATCTCATGAAGGATTGTTGTTGCTGGTTATGTTACAAAACAGTTACCATAGTCACACCAGCAGCATCACCCATTATTGTGACTTAATCTCATAGGTTTATAATGGGGCAGTTATAACTTTTATCGGAAACAAAAACAAAAAATATATATATATAAACTTTGCAGAACCTAGTAGAGATTTTTATTTTATTTTTAAGTCTTTTTAACAGAATTGTATAAAGTAAGGATATATATATATATAGTCACAGTTTTGCTTCTTTGATAGTAGAGAGGTTCCTGCATAGGTTTACAAAATGCCATACTTCTAAAAACATTCCACTGATGTAGTTGTTATGTTGAGGGAGTGTTGTTACAGTGACATACATCTGATGATAGAGTGTTAAGGCTGTTTGTAATTTTGTTTATTATTGATCATAATCCAGTCAGTGTAATGGGCCAGGGAAACAACTATACAGTTTCGTGGTAATTAAAACTTTTTGCATTATTTCATTAAACTTCATTTGAAATGCCTCTTGAGATGTAATACTTGATGGGTGAATTTTTGTGTATTTTTGTATTTAAGTTACACATACATGTACGTACAACTCTTCTGGCAAGTCATGTATTTAAGTGCCTGTCTATTTGCATTGCAGGCGCTTACACAATCTTTATCAATGTTGATACCCAGGTGTGAGCAAAATACATTATTACATAGGATAATATGTGTTTTTATTTCTCCTACCTTCGACATAATATAGTACAGTACGGGGTTCCTTCTGTACTCTTACCCTGAACCATGAACCCGAGATTCACACTATTGAATCCAAAGCATTTATGGACAGACTATTGTATCTTTCTACTGTTTTGGATTCAGGCACCCAAAACCAGAGTTATAAAAAATGCTGGACTTTGTTACTTAGGTAAAAAGTATTGATACATTGGCATAATGTTACTCAAGTAGAAGTAAAAGTATCCAATTGTCAATGTACTCTTAAGTAGAAGTAAAAAAGTGTCTCATTCTTAAGGTACTTGAGTACTGGAAGTAAAAAGTAACAAAAAAATTATTATTTGTCTCATATTGAAATAAATCCACAGTAAATTATAAAAAAAAATAAGTTGTCTAAAGATAAAAATAAAAGACATAGCATTTCACATGTTTCTTTGCTAATCTTTCTATTAAGACTAATTAATAACTGATTCTCAAAACTATGGCTGTCCAATCAGGATCTTTTAGGACTAAATATAAGCCCAGCATGACCTACCCAAAGAGAATACTGTACGTTCAGCCACTCTTCTCCCTACAATTCATCGCAGGGATGGTGACTGGGCTGAAAATATATCCATCCAACACTATGATTACCTTCTTCCTTATCCACACAAGTAATGTCGACGTGGACTTATGGTCCGCAGATATGTTGTCTCTGCTCGCATTAGGTAAGGATAAAGACCTATCTGGTAAGTAGCTGAGGTGGTGGGGGGGGGATGACCCACACGTCTCTTTCTGTAAACTCTGTTACTGTCCCAATGCTAAAACCCTTCAACATTACTGTATTACCTTGACTGTCCCATTGTCAGAGACCTCCTACCACAAGGAGAGCCACTAACTACAATATGTCACCACCTACTTATTCGTAATAATTGATAAGCCTGTCTCTGTCCCAGTCATTGCTTAAACCCAGAGTGATAGGTCCTGTTCATGGATTAGTAAGCCTAGTTTTGTTTGGTTTATGGACTGTCACTACTGTAAGAAACCTGGCCATTTTATTGCATGTTCTCCAAAGTTGGTAGGAAAAGAAAAATCCAGATAAGACCATGAACCTGTTACATTTGTATCTACTTCAGCAGAACCAGTTGACCCTTTTGAGTGTTCTATTGGTACCAGAGGTGATGGATCTTCAGTTATTGTTTCAGCCATTCAGGTTTGGTGACTTCGTGTCTATATCTGAGGATAGTATATCGGTTCCTGTGAGTATTTTGAGCGATACAGGTGCTTCCCACAGTATTGTGGTAAAAAATTCTGTTCCTCAGAGTCAACTTAGTAAAAAGTGAACTTGCTCAGACCTGATACACATGAATGGTATGAGATTGAAGTTGGACTATTAAGTAGCTCCTATTTCTCTGAAGGTAGATTCCATTTCTTTAGTAGTTATTTATTACCTTCAGAGGTGGCACACCTCAGGACCCTACCAGGGGTGCTGCCCCCAAAGACCCTACCAGGGGCCCTCTCAGTGTCGGCGCCCTTAGGGGCCCTAAAGAAATGGTGCCCTCAGGGGCCAAACCAAAGGCAGTGCTACCAGGGGGCCTCCCTGGGTCAGTGCCCCCAGGGGCAGAACCCTCACAGACCCTCCCAGGGGCCCTTCTAGAGGTGGTACAACCAAGGGGTCTCCCTTAGGCGGCGCCCCCAAGAACCCTTCCAAGGGTGGCACCTCCAGGGGGCCTCCCAGGGGCAGTGCCTTCAAGGATCTTCCCAGGGACGGTGGCGCCCCCAAAGGCTTTGACGGGCGCTGGCGCCCCCAGGGGCCTTTCCAGGGACGCTGGCGCCCCAGAGGTGGTGGCGCCCTCAGGGTCCCTGCCAGTGGCGATGGCGCCCCCATGGGCCCTGCCAGGGATGGCAGCGAACCTAGGGGGTCTCCCAGGGACAGCGGCATTTCTAGGAGCCATCTCAGAGCCAGCAGGGACGACGATGCTAGGGGCGCTGGCGCCCCCAGGGGCAATGACACCCCAGGAGCCCTCCCAGAGATGGCGGTGCCAACAGGGGTCCTCCCAGGGATGGTGGCGCCCCTAAAAGACATGCCAGGGTTTCTAGGGCCCCCAGGGGCCTTTCCAGGGTGGCTGGCAACCCCAGGGGCCCTCCCAGAAACGGAGGCGCTCCCAGGGGACGGCGGCACACCCAGAGGCCCTTCCAGGGACGGCAGCGACCCCAGGGGCTCTGCTATGGGCGATGGCGCCAACAGGAGCCCTGCGAGGGACAGCGGCACCTCCAGGAGTTATCCCAGGGACAGTGGCGACCCCAGTGGCCCTCCCAGAAACGGCCGCGCTCCCAGGTGCCCTGTCAGGGCCGGTGGCTTCCCCAGGGGCCATGCCAGGAGCGCTGGAGCCCCTATGGGCTCTACCAGGGACAGCAGTGCTCCCAGGGTCCATCCCAGGGGCCTCTGCCAGGGACAGCGTCGCCCCCAAGGGCTTTGCCAGGTGCAATGGAGCCGCCAGGGGCTCTCCTAGGGACAGCGGCACGCCCACGGGCATTGCTAGAGGAGCTGGCGCCCCCAGGGACTCTTAAAAGGGGCAGTGGTGCGTCAGGGGCCCTCCCAGAGATGGCGGTGCCCTCATGGGACCTCCTAGGGACGGTAGCGCCCCCAAAGGCCCTGCCAGGGGCGGTGGCACCACCGAGGGATATGCCAGGGGCAGCGGCGCTCCCAGGAGCCATCTCGGGGACGGCGGCACCCCTAGTCGCCGTGCCAGGGACAGCGACGCTCCCAGGGGCCCTCTCAGGGGTGGTGGTGGCCCAGGGGCCATTCAAGGGACAGCGGAATTCCCAGGGGCCCTACCAGAAACGGCGGCGCCCCGAGGGGCTATTACAGGGTCAGCGACGCTCTCAGGGGCGCTGTTAGGGGCGGTGGCGACCCCAGAAGCACTCCCAATGACAGCAGCGCAACCTGGGGCCCTCTCAGGGGCGGTGGCGCCTCTGGGGCACTGCCAGCGGTAGTGGCGCTCTGAGGAGCCCTCCCAGGGTCGGTGCCTACCCCAGGGACCGTAAATAAAGGTCACCAGGGGCCTTATGGCATGTTAGTCCATCGTGTCATATACAATATATTTCATACTTCCAGCAGTCCCATGCTTAACTGTGATTGGTGGACTATTCTTTTAACCCGCCAAATTACAGCCAATAGGAGAAGAGAGCAGTCAGTCAGCACAACACCCCAACTTATGTTTTCCTGTTGGATATTATTCTCCATTACCTTCTCCAGAATGCTTATAATACTAGAAATGTGATGGGCGATGGATGTATTTATTTAACGTTGCTTCTCCCAGAGGTCTAAATGCCCAAAAACGACTGCAACAAGGGGCTCTCTCAGAAACAGTGGCGCTCCCAGGGGCCCTTCTAGGGACGGCGCCAACCCCAGGGACCGCAAGAAGAGTCTCCAGGGGCCTTATGGCATGCTAGTCCATCGTGTCATATACAATATATTTCATACTTCCAGCAGTCCCATGCTTAACTGTGATTGGTGGACTATTCTTTTAACCCGCCAAATTACAGCCAATAGGAGAAGAGAGCAGTCAGTCAGCACAACACCCCAACTTATGTTTTCCTGTTGGATATTATTCTCCATTACCTTCTCCAGAATGCTTATAATACTAGAAATGTGATGGGCGATGGATGTATTTATTTAACGTTGCTTCTCCCAGAGGTCTAAATGCCCAAAAACGACTGCAACAAGGGGCTCTCTCAGAAACAGTGGCGCTCCCAGGGGCCCTTCTAGGGACGGCGCCAACCCCAGGGACCGCAAGAAGAGTCTCCAGGGGCCTTATGGCATGCTAGTCCATCGTGTCATATACAATATATTTCATACTTCCAGCAGTCCCATGCTTAACTGTGATTGGTGGACTATTCTTTTAACCCGCCAAATTACAGCCAATAGGAGAAGAGAGCAGTCAGTCAGCACAACACCCCAACTTATGTTTTCCTGTTGGATATTATTCTCCATTACCTTCTCCAGAATGCTTATAATACTAGAAATGTGATGGGCGATGGATGTATTTATTTAACGTTGCTTCTCCCAGAGGTCTAAATGCCCAAAAACGACTGCAACAAGGGGCTCTCTCAGAAACAGTGGCGCTCCCAGGGGCCCTTCTAGGGACGGCGCCAACCCCAGGGACCGCAAGAAGAGTCTCCAGGGGCCTTATGGCATGCTAGTCCATCGTGTCATATACAATATATTTCATACTTCCAGCAGTCCCATGCTTAACTGTGATTGGTGGACTATTCTTTTAACCCGCCAAATTACAGCCAATAGGAGAAGAGAGCAGTCAGTCAGCACAACACCCCAACTTATGTTTTCCTGTTGGATATTATTCTCCATTACCTTCTCCAGAATGCTTATAATACTAGAAATGTGATGGGCGATGGATGTATTTATTTAACGTTGCTTCTCCCAGAGGTCTAAATGCCCAAAAACGACTGCAACAAGGGGCTCTCTCAGAAACAGTGGCGCTCCCAGGGGCCCTTCTAGGGACGGCGCCAACCCCAGGGACCGCAAGAAGAGTCTCCAGGGGCCTTATGGCATGCTAGTCCATCGTGTCATATACAATATATTTCATACTTCCAGCAGTCTGCTTAACTGTGATTGGTGGACTATTCTTTTAACCCGCCAAATTACAGCCAATAGGAGAAGAGAGCAGTCAGTCAGCACAACACCCCAACTTATGTTTTCCTGTTGGATATTATTCTCCATTACCTTCTCCAGAATGCTTATAATACTAGAAATGTGATGGGCGATGGATGTATTTATTTAACGTTGCTTCTCCCAGAGGTCTAAATGCCCAAAAACGACTGCAACAAGGGGCTCTCTCAGAAACAGTGGCGCTCCCAGGGGCCCTTCTAGGGACGGCGCCAACCCCAGGGACCGCAAGAAGAGTCTCCAGGGGCCTTATGGCATGCTAGTCCATCGTGTCATATACAATATATTTCATACTTCCAGCAGTCCCATGCTTAACTGTGATTG